TTACTTTCAGTTTTCGGTAAAACCGTGCTTTAAACCAGTGTTTTTCAAACTTGGCACGCTGGCTGAAGAATTCTGGGAGTTGGAAGTCCACACATCTAAAGTTGCGGAGTTTGAGAAATGGACTCCAAATGGACTCAGTTTGATACTTCCCAGTTTTTCTTCCTGCCCTGGTTAAATTACTTAACCAGATTTTTCAGACATCGTGCAGCAGAGATACTGAAAGTCTTCTGAAGTTCAGTGGTCTCAGCTAATAATGAGAGTAAATCATAGCCATACACCAATTTCCACCAGTCTTACACGGAGTTAAACCTTCCTACATAAATATTCACCCCCGAAATAAATCAGGCCCATTAGCAGGAGCCCTGCCAAATAAAACAGCAGAAGTCTTGACGGTTATCAAGCCAGTTAGCAGAATAAACCTATTAAATAAATAAATTTGTTCTCCCCCCAATTTATGACGGTGCTATACTTAAAGTGAAACCTTTTAAATGAACAGATTTACTGTGCCCGGAGATCTCCACGGGGTCTGGATAATTATGCAAAGGCAAGGCGTTACTTTTAAAGGGGATGAATAGGGCTGGTACTTGTCGTGATTTACAGCCAGACACTGAAAAATGGTAATGGCACAAAATAAGCTTTTGCAAACTTCTTTTGGCAGACAGAAAATGCTTGATTTACCCAGGGCATCCATCAGTTCTATATTTTAGATTAAAGCAGATAGATAGCTAGGAAAATGTGTGTGATTATCCTGCAGGAAACTGTTGAGGGGTGATACTGCTTTACTGTTCATATTGCTAAGGGGGCAATTTTATTGTCTATGAAAGGGAGTCAATGGTGATATTCTAGACTTCTGGGATTGGAGAACATGAGCTAACATTCTATTCTGTCCTGTTAAACGTCAAGCCAGTTAGTGGAAGAAGCTATTAGATGCAAGCAACTATATCCATACATGTAAGGTTCAGGCTAACTACTTCATTATCTTCTGCCTATTATGCAGGAATCTTCCCAGACTGGGAATAGATAGATAAGGTTCTAGGGAGCTTAAGTGGGGATCAGTCCTGGGTCCTTTGTAGCTGTGCAAGGATTCAAGGCTAATTGCCTGCTTGAGACCTTCCTTCCTAGTTGAGTGTTTCCCAATATAACCCTATTCAATAAATACATTAGTTCTCACCAATTTATGGCACCAACTATGGGTTTTCGGCTTCTCCGTTATCAGCAGCCCAAGTGGGACATCCCAGACAGTGACAGAGTTCACTCATGGAGAAATGAACATGCCTCTATCTCACCAGCTGCTGCACCATACGATTTTTCTGGGAAGATTTATGACAATTTTGAGTATATATCCTTATAGTATCCAAGGGAACTTCTAATCATGACTTTGTGTAATTGCCCTGCCTAACTCACGGAATTTTACTATGGGGCCAGGAGAAAAATCCCCTTAGGTTTACACACACACACACACACACACACACACAGAGAGAGAGAGAGAGAGAGAGAGAGAGAGAGAGAGAGAGAGAGACTCCCTTTTTTCTTTCTCTTTCTTTCTTTCTTTCTCTTTCTTTCTTTCTTTCTTTCTTTCTTTCTTTCTTTCTTTCTTTCTTTCTTTCTTTCTTTCTTTCCTTCCTTCCTTTCCTTCCTTCTTCCCTCCCTCTTTCTCTCTCTCCCCTTTATTCTTACTAGAAAAGTTACCTGTTATCTGAAAAGAAAAATTGTACAATAGTTTTTCCCAGAAACCAGAAGCTTTAATTTCAGCAATGATTGTGCCATATTCATTGAGCCTATTTTTTTTTAATTAGAAAAAAATATATCCATGCAATTTGGACGCATGAGAATTTCTCGATTGTACCTAACAGATTTATGTAGCTGAACATGCTAATGTCCTTTGACCTGCTTAGAAATAAATACAGCTGACCAAATTGTCAATTTTTATGGATATTTACAGCCAAGTACTTTGTAAACTTAAGAACTAATTTTCCCTGAAGGAAATCTGTATTCTATAACCTTGATAAACTGTCAAAAAAACGCAAACCATGACTAGACCTGAAGTTTCTCTTGCCAGCCATGTGCACTTTCAGAAGCTTATGAAGATTCAGTGTGATATATGGATGGGGTTAACATCCTCCCGGATGAGAAGGAAATGGGGTATAATATGAGGGTCTTTCTAGCTTCTCAGGTCCTGCTCAAAGGGTAGAGGACAGCTGTGGCCAGAGGAGTCAATGCACAGACCCTCTCATACATCTTCTTCTTCTTCTTGTGCCATATCCGTTATCGGACGTTGGCGATCCTGTTGGCGATCCTGTTTTTATCAGCAGCCGCACGAAAAAGTGCTGCTGAGTTTTGTCCAAACCAATCCCTTAGATTTTGAAGCCACGACGTTCTTCTTCTGCCTGGACCTCGTTTGCCTTCAATCTTCCCTGGAGGATTAAATGGAGTATGCCGTATTTTTCTGGGTGTCGCATCACATGTCAGAAATATTCTAATTGTTTTGATGATTTCCCTTGGCTTTCCCAGTCGGCTTATCACCTCCTCATTTCTGATCTTGTCAACCCAGCTTATACGTAACAGCTGCCTGTAAATCCACATTTCAAATGCTTCTAGTCTCTTCAGGTGGCCTTCTGTCAGAGACCAAATCTCTACTCCATAGACCAGGATAGAAAAAATATAGCATCTGACAAGCCTGATTTTCAGTCTTAGGCTTATGTTGTGACTGCAGAAGACCTGATACATCAGGTGGACCCATTCTCAACTGGGGCTCCCTGCTCGGAGATTCGCTCCAATTGGATTACTGCAACACACCCTACATGGGGCTGCCCTTGAACACCACTCAAAAGCTAGAACTGGCCCAAAATGCTGTGACAGATCTAGTTATCGGGGTGTATTGAAGTTTTACTTTAAAAGCTCTAGTAGCTACCAATGGATGCAACACAATTCTAAGTGGTGGTTATCATCCATAGTGCCATTCATGGCCTGGGTTATTCTGGGTCTACTTTTTTCCAGCCATACCAGAAATTTTCACCAAGATGGCATGATCCAGATCGCTTCTATTTAACAATGTCACCTAATGGGCCCAGAAAAAGTTCCTTCTCTATTGCAGTGCGTACCATATAGTTGTTTAATGAAACATCTGCCAGAAAATCTTATCTTATGAATAAAGGTTATCTTATCTTAAACAACCAAGCTCAGAGAGCACCAAGGACCCCACTTTTTCATGACTCAATGTCAACTATATGGTATCTTCTGGGGTTTCTCCTGTCTGAATCCACGTTGCACTTGATAGAAACTCTAGTTGGATATACAAGGCTGAACTGGGCAGATCCTATCAATCTAGATGTCTATCTGGCATTTTTAAAAGACCAAAGTGATCACGCCTATCAACTTGTCCAGTGGTTCTCAACGGGTGGGGGGGGTGTCTTAACCTGGAAGGCCATCCTTTTGTCCCAAGGGGTCCATGAAGGCTTGAAGAAATGTTATGATTTAAATCCTCAGTCTTGGTGATCCGTGGCCACAAAATTTATTTAAAGGGGGTCTGCAGTGAAGAAAAGGTTTAGAATCACTACCCTACTCTACAGTGATAGCCCAGGATATCATAAGAAACCTGGCAAGTGTCACAGTGCTCAGTGGAAATTAACACCTGATAATCTTCTCTCCATATTGAAGCAACAAGCCCTTCAAATAAATTAATACCTATTTAAAACATGTCTCCTTGAACAGCTGTTATTCACTGGCAGAGATTCTCCATATTAAGGCTGCTTTCTTTGTTCTCCTACAAAGTCATGGTGCTTCTACGAACTTGCATTGTGCAGAACGAAGCATCCTTTGCTCCCAAAGAGATGGGGCCTTTTTTTTTAATATAAGTTAATATTTTAACATTACACATTCCACCAAACTCCCCAACAAAAAGGTCAGTTCCTTTGTACGGCATCTGTCGACAACAGACAAGCAGATGCTTAAAGCTATGGCACAGATACTTGCAGCAGTGAGCAGGAGAAAAAGAAGGCAGTCAATCTTTCTCTCTAGATTTTAAGATCGGATTTACCATGATACGAATCCACTAAACCCCACCGAGACTTTTTGTGTCTCATAATTTAAGGCCAAATTATGGGTCTCTCGGAGAGGCCTGGACTAATACGTGAAGCTTCTGTAAGTGAGCAGAGATGTTGCAAATCTTATGATGCATGCTTTAAAAACCGAGTTTTCCAAAGATGGATGGTTTTGTTTTTTTACAGGTTTGTGGCTTTGTTGAGTAAAGTCAACTAGATATTGCGGCAATATTCAAATGATTTGGGTATGTCTTTTCCCCTCTAAAAGCCATTTTAAAAGGTTGCCTTACCATGGTTTAATAGGCACATGGCTGGCTTAGACGCAGGGCCAAATATATTTTCCAAAGAGCCTGGAGGCAGGACAAGAAGCAACGAGTGGAAACTAATCAAGGAGAGAAGCAACCTAGAACTAAGGAGAAACTTCCTGACAGTGAGAACAATTAACCAGTGGAACAACCTGCCTCCAGAAGCGGTGAATGCTCCAACACTGGAGGTTTTTAAGAAGAGACTGGACAGCCATTTGTCCGAAATGGTATAGGGCAGGGGTAGGCAACCTTGGCTCTTTTATGACTCGTGGACTTCAACTCCCAGAATTCCTGAGCCAGCCTGGCTCAGCTTGGAAACCTCTCCCTTTCCCCTCAGCATGGCTGGCTCAGGAATTCTGGGAGTTGAAGTCCACGAGTCACAAAAGAGCCAAGGTTGCCTACCCCTGGTATAGGGTTTCCTGCCTGAGCAGGGGGTTGGACTAGATGACCTTCAAGGTCCCTTCCAACTTTACTATTATTATTATTATTATTATTATTATTATTATTATTATTATTATTATTATTATTATTATTATTATTATTAATACAAACACTGTCACTTTGTCAACTCTCAGGTGATGTACTTTTATAATATTTTAAGGGTCATTCTCCCTATATATTCTTCTGCCAGTGTTCCATCTAGAAGAGGGAGATTAAGAGAACGTGTATTTGAGTGTAGAGCGTGCCTTTAATTTTGAATTAAAAAAAACAAAACCTCTGTCTTAGAAAATAGCAAGATAAAATATCTGGTGCAGTTGTGCTTTGAATGTAAACTCACAGCAGAAGCGAACAAATTTACACTCTTACTTGGCCAATGTAATCCAGAAACCTCTTGACACGCTCAAGATCAATGCCATTTTCCCAACAGCCATCTTTCTTGAAATGTGAACCAATGATCAAGGCATTTGCACTTAAATAATCCTTCACATTATCCAGAGTGACACCAGACCCCACCAGGACTGGAATCTTCACCGCAGATCTGACTTCTAGAGAAGGAAAATAAGAAGACTCATAAGAGAACTTATAATAAAACTTGTAAGGGAGACTAACTGAGGTCACAATGATTCTACACCAGGGGTGTCCAGCCTTGGCAACTTAACACTTGTGGATTTCAACTCCCAGAATTCCACAGTTGGGAATTAAAAGTCCACAAGTCTTAAAAGTTACCAAGTTTGGACAGGCCTGCTCTACATGTTCCAGCAGCTCCCTTTCCTACCATCCTCTCCCTACACCAGGGGTAGGCAACCGTGGCTCTTTTATGACTCGTGGACTTCAACTCCCAGAATTCCTGAGCCAGCCATGCTGAGGGGAAAGGGAGAGGTTTCCAAGCTGAGCCATGTTTAGTGACCATTCAAAGTTAGGGCAGCACTGAAAAAAGTAACTTATGCCTGATCCTTATCCTCATGATCATTGCATCGCCACGATCACGTGATCAAAATTTGGATGCTTAGTAATTGGCATGTATTTGTAACAGCTGCAGCAACTGTGCCCAAAAACCGCCCCCCACCCCATCCTCGCTCTGCCCTGCCCGCTGGGCCACCCACCACCTCCACGGCCCGCCACAGATCACCCAGGCAGCCCAACAGCGCCATGGCAGTCACACCCTCCGCCCGTGCCCTGCAGCAGCATCTGTGCGCAACAGGGCACAAGGGCGGAGTCTTGTCCCCGCTGCCCGGCTACCATGTCCTTGGCTGCGCTGCTTTGCGTGGGCCGTGCCCGGGGGCGAATCTCCTCTGGGGGGGGCTGCTGGTGAGGAGGGGGCCATGAGAGGAGGCGGGGCTGGGGCGACGATGTGTGTGCCCACAGAGAGGGCTCCACCTCTGGCACGTGTGCCATACGTTCGCCACCACTGGTATAGGGTTTCCTGCCTGAGCAGGGGGCTGGACTAGAAGACCTCCAAGGTCCCTTCCAACTCTGTTATTATTGTTATTGTTAACTGCCATGTATTTGAAACCTTTCAAAGCAAAGATGTCTGATGAGCGAAGTCATGGGGAAAGCTGGATTTGCCTAATGACTGCATGGTTCACTAACCATGGGAAAAAGGTTATAAAATTGGACGTGATTCGCTTAACAGCCAACTTGCTTAGCAGTGGAACTTTCCAAGTGTGGTTGTTAAGTCAAGGATCCTTTGCATTCTTCTTGCTAACAGCAAATATTTCGGCAGCAACCAATCAGAGCCAATGGTGTCTTTTAAACCAGGGTTCCCCAATCCCCGGTTCGTGGACCAGTACCAGGCCGTGACATGCCAGCAACCAGCACACAAACAAGCAAAGTCCCATCATTGGGATGCAGGCAGCACACAAAAGCAGGCACACTCCGGTCCGTGGAAAAACCTCTCTCCACCGAACCGGTCCCTGGTGTCCAAAAGGTTGGGGACCTCTGTTTTAAACTGCAAAGGAAAAGACTGCAGCCTTTTAAGTTATTTCATTAATGTTTTACTCTCTCCAGCAAAGCCACCACCAAGAGCCCGGGTGCTTCGACTCTCCTGCCCTATGACTAGTGCCAAAAAAAGCATTAGCCGTGCTGGAAACGAGATAATATAATCTCACCCCTTTTCAGCGCAGCTCTCCAAAGAGACAAGCACTAAGATCAAAAAGCCCATCGGCGTAAGCTGCTCAATGGGCTTATTCCGTTAGATGATGAAAGGAACCCAAATGGGCTACGCTTAAGCAGCGGCAGGGATTCCAAAGGCAGAGTCAGGATCAATTTGCTCTCGTGGAATGATTACATGGCCACGTTTCTTTTCTTTTTTGAGGAAAACCCAGGCCCCTAAGCCCTCTCTGATCTATTTTCATCGTACAGAATGGCAGCGTTTAGGGTTTCGTTTATCTTGGTTACCTGTGAGATCACTCTTGTCGCTGAAGGAACCCTGGATGTCCTTTAATTGTGTGTGTGTGTGTGTGTGTGTGTGTGTGTGTGTGTGTGTGTGTGTGTGTGTGTTGCGTGCGTGCATGCATGCATCTCTGTCTCCCTCTCTCTCTTTATCTATCTATCTATCTATCTATCTATCTATCTATCTATCTATCTATCTATCTATCTATCTATCTATCTATCTATCTATCTATCTATCTATCTATCTATCTTATCTATCTAATCCATCTATCCATTCTCTTTCCACCCATCTATCCATCCATCCACCCACCTACCTACTGACCTATCCTATCCATCCTCTTTCCATCCATATATCAATCTACTTATCTACCTATCTACTTATCTCCATCTCTCTCTCTCTATCTCCATATATCTACCTATTTATCTCTCTCCTGCATACAGCTATCTCTTCTCCTCCCTACCTATATCCATCCTTCTCCATCCATCCATCCATCCCTACTTTCCTCCATTTATCTATCTCTATCTCTATTCTCTCTCTCTCTCTCTCTTTCTCTCTCTTCTCTCTCTCTCTCCCTCTCTCTCTCCCCCTATGCCTTTGCCTATCCCTATCCCCAAACAAGCATTTTCCTTCAATTTCTGTTATCCCTTTTTCAAGAAAAATAAACACATTGGGAATTGGACTTGACTCATTGGTATTTAGATGTTATTACTGGTGCCCTGTTTCTGAATGCGTTGTTTTTCCTAATAGACCATCCATTTCTGAGATATACATACTATTTTCCACCTTCTACACTTCAATGTTTTTATTAGAAAAAAAAACCTTTTAAAAAAGGTTTTGAAAAATTATGAAAAGTGCCGTTATTAATGCCTTACAGCTATCCATAATTAAGCTTTTCTGTTTCCCCCTTTATGTAATTAAGAAAAATGAGAAATATATACACTCTATTATAAAGTTTTACACTTCAAATTAACTTCAAGCATATCATATGAAACCTAACATAACTGCCCTAACTAGTTACGGCCAGAAAAGGTGCTAATAATATCTGCTTTTAAATGAGCTACTTAAAGGCAACCTATAAAGAACATGGTCAAGAAGTATTTTTCATAGTCACAGAAGTCAGAACCAGAAATAACAATTCTAGGTTGCAACTATCAAAATTTCATTTAAATAGAAGGAAAAAAAAACCTCATGGTGGTCCAATAGTGGAATACTCTACCTATAGAGGTTGTGGAGTCTCTGTTTCTGAGGTTTTTATTTTTTTATTTATTTATCAAACTTTTTAAACCACCCACCTATCCCACAGGGAGATTCTTAAGAACATCCTGGATGACTACATCTTACAGATGGTTTAATTAGTTTTCCTGCATATGGCAGAGGAGTGGACTTGATGATCCTGATGACCCTTTCTACAATTCTACAAGGAGATTAAAATGGATCCAAGTCAAATCACGCAGTGGAAGAACTGAAACGACACTCAAGCAGATCGCTATATTTTATATTTTGATATTTGGAAATATTTTCTTTTTCAGTGAAGATGGTAGCTGATAGATTGATAGACAGAAAATTTCAACAGATCTGAAGAGAAGGAGCAACTGGATTTTGAAATATTAGAGAAGAAGAAGAAGAAGAAGAAGAAGAAGAAGAAGAAGAAGAAGAAGAAGAAGAAGAAGAAGAAGAAGAAGAAGAAGAAGAAGAAGAAGAAGAAGAAGAAGAAGAAGAAGAAGAAGAAGAAGAAGAAGAAGAAGAAGA